CACTCTGCTTCTTTGGTGGAATCGGGGTTCCTACCCTTTGCTTCTATGGGATCAAACAAATCTTTACAACTGAGGAGATCTTCCATCCGAGGTCTCCACAATGTGTAATTTGTGGCAGTAAGCTTTATCATAGCTCCAGATGATGATGACTCTTCCATTATGTCTTTAAAATGGCTTGGTCAAAATTTTGGAGCAGAATCTCACCAAACGGAACTCACCAACACGTCCGGAATGGTGAAAAATGGTAGGATTGACTCTTCTTGGGACAAAATAGGGCCTCCAGAAAATTTTCAAAATTTACACAAAACTTTTGGGGTTAAATCGAAAATATACTGAACTTGTGGGGCAGATTTATAATTTCAGTAACTTCAGGGGTTATTTCATAAATTTCTAAAAAAATTATGATGACTGGATGCTGACGTGGCGCTGACTGGATGTTGACGTGGCGATGACTGGATGCTGACGTGGCGATGACTGGATGCTGACGTGACGCTGACTGGATGATGATGTGGCGCTGACTGGATGATGATGTGGCGCTGACTGTGCAGTTACTATTCATCATCTTCTTCCTTGGGCAGAAGAAAAAAAATTGTCATAACTTCTTCGTTTTAGCTTTGTTTGGCCTCCGGAAAATTGCGTTGAATTCGTATCGACGCAAGGAATCTAATGAAATGATCAAAACACACCGAAGATCACGTTTTCGAAAAAACGTAAATCCGGGTTGAAATTTTCAGTGTTCCGATATTTCTCGATGAACACAGAATCGAAGGCTCTGATACCACTTGTTGTGATTCTCAGATCAATATGAAGATTATTTGGGAGGAAAAACAACTCTATTTCACAAGAATAGAATTATAGAGAATTTACACCAAGAATTTCTCTCTACAAAAACCTCACCAAACTCTCTTTTTGTTCTCACAATCTCTTCCTGGATTGTATTTCAATCTCTCTGGATTGATGTTTCTGTGTAAAACATAAGGCTCTATTTATAGCCTTAAAGAAGGTGGTTGGTGGTTGAATTCTTCATTCAACAATGGAGGCTTCAACAATGGTGGCTTCTAGAATGGGTTGGTGGCTTCAACAATGGTGGGCTTCTAGAATTGGTAGTTGGCAGCAGCTGAACTTATCAAATTGGCTATCAACTTTCATGCCATGTTTAGACGGATCAAACCAATCACAATAAAATAAAACTAACTTTTGAGTGGTCCTTGTCCATTCTAATTTGATAATCTCCTTAATAACACCATAATATTCATTTGTAGTGCCATCATGTCCGATGCCACTAACAGATACCCCACTGTTAAATATTTTTCTTCCTTCACCCCATGCAGAAGTGCAAAATTTGTATCCATTCGCAATATAAACAGGATATGATGTTGCCTTTCTTAGTGGTCCCTCTGCTAAGACTTGCAAATACGGATTCAATGTCTCTTGTAGATTTTTATTGACCTATTGTATAATAATAATAATAATAATAATAATAATAATAATAATAATAATAATAAGTTAGATTTATTTATTAAATGATATGTTCTTCAGTAATAACTACTTTATGTTATTCCATACATAATCTTTGAACCATCGTGGAAAGTCAGCTTCAATTTGTTTATCAATGATATCATCACTAAGATCACCATAAGTATCTCTGAGAACTTGCTCATACAAGCTGCAGCCACATATTAGTTATAATCAAAATATAATTAAGTTACACTTAATAGTTAAATTCATATAATGCTTAAAACATACTTGAAGAAAGTATGTGGATTACCTTCTTCAGGCCTTTGCCGAGGATTGTTGACCATGAGAGGAAAGCCTTGGGTCGAGAATAATTGTATTTTGGTGAAACCCTTGAGCCCTAGAATTTGGTATTGCAATGTGAAGGGTTTCAGAAATTGAGAGCCATCTTAGAGAGGGAAAAAACCCTGCGTTCTGTATTTGGGAAAAAACCTTAAGAGGGAAACAAATCAATTGTGCTGTTTATTTCTTTTCAATTGTATTTATTTGTTAGCCGCCTCCTTATGTCATCTCTCCCTATACTAGTTCTTTTTTTTTTTTTAATATCACAAGGGCTTTCCATGGACAGTACTACCATATATGTGTTTCTTTTAATTTGAAGAACAATGAGCCACAAAACTTAAATTAAAATTATACTTTAATTTTTAAGAAAAAATTGTATTTATTTAATTTTATGTATAATTCTTGTCTTGATAAATCTATATTAATATATTAAAGTGAAAATTATTGAATATAAAAATAGAACTATCTCATTGATTAAAAAAAAGATAAATACTACGTCATGGAAAAAATATATAATTTCCACTTTTAAAAAAATTCAAAAAATAAAAGTCAAATGACTCAAAAAAACATTTTAATTTTTGACTATACTACTCAATTTGATGTCATTATATATTGTCCGCAAATGCAAATTGATTTTTTATTCTTTGATCTAAAGTTATTCCTTTTTATCAAAGAGTAATTGATTGGATGTCTTAGTGAGATTTATCGTTTTACTTATAATTGTGTTCGAAATAAATAAATAAATAAATAAATTCTCACTGCAACAATTATTTTAATAAGATAAAATTATAATTAATAAAACAATACTTATAGTAATCGATCGATCTTACTATCATCGAGGCAAAAGCAATATATGGCAAAACATCACCTCAATGATAGTAAGATTACTATCATATTATCGTCAAGCAAACTAAATACAAAGGTGATATATATATATATATATATATATATATATATACATATCACCTTTGTATTGGTTTATAAACTAATATCATTGCTATAGTCAGTTTACCCAACGATAATCATCTTGTTCTTTGTATGTTACTTATGCAAACCAATATATCATCATCTTTATAGTCAGTTTACTAGACGATAATGATTATAACATCGAGTCCCTCTACTCCTTGATAACCATTAATTGTAATATTTTTTTAATAAAACACTCTAGATAGGAGCGTTAGTGAACACATGGAGCAGAGCGAAGTGTATCGTTCGTAATGTAAAGAAAGATATCATAAAAGTCAATTATTTGTTGCACTTCTACAATGTATTTCATCGTGTGGCTCAATAACACATAAAATTTCCCAAATAATACTGCAAGTATAAATATCCCCATGTAAATCCCCATGAATAAAACCCCAGCTAAAATCATAATAATTTTATTCCCATGTAATTCTGCAGGTACAAATATCCCCAAGTAAATTCTCAAGAATATATCGCCAACTAAAATCGCAGAAACTATATCCGTAGGTAATTCCACAGGTTATATCCCCAAGTAAATCCCCACGAATAGATCCCCAACAAAATCCGCAACAATAATATCCCTGTCGCACCTCCCTTTTCCGCCCCCGCGAGGGGCGTAGGAGTTTTTTCCAATTAAAGGACAATCAAAAAGGGATTTGTTTATTTATTTCAGAGTCGCCACTTGGGAGATTTAGGGTGTCCCAAGTCACCAATTTTAATCCCGAATCGAGGAAAAGAATGACTCCATATTACAGTCTGCGTACCAGAAATCCGGATAAGGAATTCTGTTAACCCGGGAGAAGGTGTTAGGCATTCCCGAGTTCCGTGGTTCTAGCACGGTCGCTCAACTGTCATATTTGGCTTGATTATCTGATTTAATACATGTTGAACCTATGTGCAAAATTTAACTTTTAACCGCTTTTATCATTTTTCTTATTATTATTTTATACAAGAATTGTGACGTCGTGAAAATGCATCTCGAACCACGTCACAACCAGTGCACACGTGATTTGTTGACGCATTTTGACTCCGTCAAGATCGGGATTTGGGTTACATAAATGCACACCCATATTTTAAGAAAATAACCTTATTAAATATGCGCCAAAAGACTACGCATTATTATACTTTTAGGTAGGACCGTGAAATTTACTAAACGGCCCATCCCGGGATCTAAGTATTTTTTTTTAAAAAATAAATAAATAAATGAGATTGGAGAATCCTGCAAATTTTTGTATTGTTTACATCTATTTATTTTTAGCGAAATCCTTCCTTATTTTATGAATATCTATTAATGACTACATTTTTATTATTACTAAGTTTGTCTATAAATATAAAATCAATCTCTACATACTTAAAAATAACATATTAAATAGAAGAGAAAAACAAATATTAACGGAAAGTAATATTACTAAAATTATAATTATAAATACAACATGGAATTGTCAAATAATTTTTTATTTTTAAAAAAAAAAAACTAATTATCCCATAGTCAGATTAAAAATCATATTGTTAGATGACTTGAGCTATTGNTAAGAAAATAACCTTATTAAATATGCGCCAAAAGACTACGCATTATTATACTTTTAGGTAGGACCGTGAAATTTACTAAA